CCTGCCCTTCCCCCACCCTCACCGAGGCGAGGCCTGCGGCCCTGGCTCCATCCCCGGGACTGCTGAGCCACCGGAATGGAGCGGCCTGTGAGTCAGTCAGCAGGAAGGGACACTTACAGCCACTTGCATCAGATGTTCCTGCCGCGTGGCCCCACAACCTTCTAGAAGCCCCAGCTCGTGACCCTCGTTTTTCTGGGGGGCTCCTGGGGCTTGTGGTTCCTGTCCCTGGGGGCCCAGACAGGTGGGGACCGGTGGAGAGGCTGCAGCACGTCCCCTACCCCCACAGCCACACCCGCCCCAGCTGCCAGTCCTGGTCCCAACACCCTGATCCTCCTTTGAAGCTGCGCTGGCACCCAGGTGTCCCACACCAGCTCAGGGCCTTTAAGGCAGCCCTGTGCCCCCTCTGAGTCTCAGGGGGCAGAGCCGGAGAAGGACAGGAGAGGCTGGGGGGGGGGGGGCGGGGAGCTTGCCACAAAGGCGCTGCGGCGCGTGAGCACACTGGAGCCGTCCCCGACGTCCCCCACGTCCCCGACGTCCCCCACGTCCCCCACGTCCCCCAGCCCCGGCACGAGCCCCGCTCCTCTGCCCGGCTCCCACGCCCACGCAGACCCAGGCTCAGGGCTTCTCTAGACGTGCGCAGACACACATGCACACCCCAGTCTGGTCACACTCACAGACACTCACAGCAGACTGGTGCCCTGGTTGTAAAGTTGGAGGAGAAGGGTCTGTACCATCACCCCTGGGCAGGGCTGTCAGGTACCACACAGGACACTAAGTCACCGAGTTACATCTGAATTTCAGAGAAGCCATGAATAAGGGTTTGGGACATTTGTATGCATGGGGCTCCCACTGGAAGGCATTCATGGTTTCTCTGAAATTCAAATGTAACTGGGTGCTCTGTAATTTATTGGCTGAGTCCCGGGGCTCTGCCTGCTGGGTTGTGGGGGTCCTGAGCTTTCAGGGTGCCCCGACACGACCCAGGAGGTGAACATCCAAGCCCCCGGAGGGGCCCAGGGCGCTAGGCAGGCCGCCAGACCACGGAGGGGCGGTCAGCCCGGAAACCCGCCTCCTCGCTCGCTCGGAGGCTGGCAGAGGCGGAGCCCCCCAGGCCGGAAGTCAGGACCTGCCGGGTGTCCTCTGGGCTTTGGGGGAGACCCCACATGTGACATAGGCTGAGAGTCACCCTGCAGAAGCGAGGGGCTTCTCGGGGGCCTGGCTGGGTGTAGACTCCTAGAAAGAGCACAGTCCCTACACCTTTGGTCTAAGCTTCGCCAAGGCCGCTCCATGACTGGGGCGGGAAAGGTGGTCAGCACCCCTCTCCTGAGCCCCTAGGGAGCCAGGGGAGAGGCTGGAGTAAAACTGCAGGGGAGGGGGAAGGAGAGGGGAGGGGGGGAGAGGGGGAGTCCCAGGAGCCGGGGAATCATTTCCTGCTTGTCCTCCTTTTCCATTTTTTTAAATTATTTATTTCTGAGAGAGAGAGAGAGACAGCGTGAGCAGGGGAGGGGCAGAGAGAGGGAGCCACAGAATCCAAAGCAGCTCCAGGCTCCGAGCTGTCAGCACAGAGCCCGACGCGGGGTTCAAACTCACGGACCATGAGATCATGACCTGAGCCGAAGTCGGACGCTCAACCGACTGAGCCCCCAGGTGCCCCTTTGTCCTCCTTTCTCAGACCAGCACCTGTTGCTCTGGGAGCCTCAAACTAGCCCGTGGGCCCCCAGGGCAGTCCTGAGCCCCCCTCCCAGGCTGGCCGCTCTCCTCAGCAATCTTTGGAGGGTTGGGAAGCATCATTGCCCTGGGCCGGGCCTGTCCTGCCCACCAGCTGTGTCTGTCCTTTGCCTTGGCTGGAACTGCACCTCCACCTCCCTACCCCCCCACCCCCCGCAAGTGACAGTCACCAGGAGCTGGGTACGGGTGAGAAACAGCAGCCAGGACTTCATCTTCCTGCCTCACCCGCCTGGCAGATTCCTTCCACTCCCAGAACAGGTGAGACCCTGGGGGGGGGGGGGGGCAAGAGGAAGGGGGCAGGGTGGCTGGCAAGGACCTCTCTCTCCCTGCCCCTGGGCACCCAGCACCTCTGGGAGCTCTGCCCATAAACAGGGCCTCCTCGAGGAAGATGATCGGAATGGGCTGTGGGCATCTGCGGCTGCCCCACAGCAGGACAGGGCCCAGGCCTGAGAGCCCACAGGCTGGCCACAGAGGCCCTTCCTACCTGCCCCCTGCCAGTCCCCTCTGCCCCCAGTGCAGGCCAGGCTGGGGCTGGGCTTGGCTGCCTCGCCCTGGCCGGCATAGCACAGGCACCCGTACCGATGAGCTCAGACTCAGGGGCTCCAGCATTCCTGGGGTGGGGGGGGTGCGGGGGAGGGCAGTGGTCTGACCTGAGCCGCTCAGGGTATGTGCGTGAACTGACTGAACACGCCCGTAGGCAGCACGGGGTGTGCACAGAAGCTCATCACGCACGGCTGCCACCGTTTTAGAGGGGCCCATATGTGCCTCGTGGGCCCTCCCAGTGCTCATACTGGTGCTTTCCTCACGGTTCCCACCATCTCAGACACAGGGCAGGGGGCTGCAGGACTCAGGAGGGGACACTGAGTGATGTCTGGGGACATTTGTGGCTGTCATGACTGAGGGCACGCTCCTGCATCAAGTGAGGGGGCATGGATGCTGCTCAACACCCCACGGTGCCTTGGCTGGGCCCCCACAGGAATGACCTGCCGCCCGTCACTGGTACTGAGGAGACCTGCTGGAAAGAGCCCAGGGGCAGTGCCATTGTCCCGTCGTTCGGCCTACAGCCTGGTGTCCCCCCACACACACACACGAGGGGCCACCCATCTGGGCTGTGTGACGGGGAGGCAGCTTCTCTGAACGGTGCTCAGTGCTGCGCCCAGCTTCTGCCTTTGGAAGCAAGTCTGTCCCCGCTGGCCAGGCTCCAGGATCGGCCACCAGGCCCTGAGTGTTGCGGCGCTGAGAAGATGGCCTGGGGCGAGGCCTTCGGTCATTTACGTTCCCTGAGGTCCGTGTGAATGGCAACCCCACACTGGTCCGCACGTGAAGGTGAACGTAAGTAAACACCCACACTGGGGTACAGACTGATTTTCCTGCCCTGGGCTCAACCACGTTCCCCAGATATGTCCATGACCCACCCCCACGTGACATCTGGAAAGAGGGTCTTGGCAGGTGTAACTGCGTGAAACGAGGCCGTGCTGGAGTAGGGCGCGAAGGGGGACGCAGAGGAGACAGCCACCTGAAGGCGGAGGCAGGGAGCAGGGTGCCCGTCTACAAGCCCGAGGGCCTCCAACCCCGGAAGCTGGGAGAAGCAGGAAGGATCCTCCCTGGGAGCCTTCTGAGAGGGTGTGGACCCGCGGGTGTGGACCTGCGGAGACCTTGATTTCAGACTCCTGGTCTCCGGAATGGGACAGCGTGCATTTCTGTTGTTTTAAGCCTCTCCAGTATGTGACGCTATGTTACAAAAGCCACAGAAGCTGACACACTTACAAGCCCTGTAGCCACACACCCACAACCATGCACACATGCACTCTCAGACACACCTATTCCTTCCAGCAATATTCAGCGAGCACTTCCCATGCGCCAGGCCCTGTGTGCTGGGCTCTGGACCAGCAGCGGACAGGTCTGCGTTCGTATGGAGCTGACCTGAGGAGGGGCAGTGGCCCATCTGTACCCACCTGAGCCATCCGAAGTGCACGAAAACCCGCAGGTAACCACGTACACACAGAGAGGGCCCTGTGGAGGCAGAGGTGGGAGGGGACAGCCAGGAAAGGAGGGAGGGAGGGAGGAGGAGGAGGCTTTGAGGTGGCTTCTCCAGGGCAGGCAGGTCTAACAGCCCCACCCCAGGCACTTGGAGCCAAGGTGTGTGTCTACACACACACACACACACACACACACACACACGCACGCACGCACACGTGCCCAGGGGACAGAGGAGGACTTGGGGCTGGCTGAAGTCAGGTGCAGGCTGAGCTGTGGCCTTGGCAGGCGGCACACAGAGGCAGCCCCACCAGAAGGGGACAATTCAGTTTCAGGTCAGCCTGGCTGGGGGACGCTCGGGTTGGGGTGGTGGTAGGGGGAGCTAAGGTCTGGAGGAGAGGGGGGTCGGTTCACCCCGCAGGCTGCGCTTCGGGGCGCCCAGAGTATGGAGTCAGGACTTTGCACCACAGCGCTTCAGGGACAGGGAGCCGGCCCAGCTCCGGATGGGCCGATCGTACCCAAGCCTCGGTGGCGGGTGCGCCGGCCAAAGTGGGGTGGTATTTTATTTCCTGTCCTGGCTGCCCCCCACCCCTGGGGCTCTTTCTTGATCCAGGGTCTCTGCTCTTCCTGAAACGTAACTTTGCAGCACTGAGGAAAGGCCCTTCACCGATCTCAGTCCCCATCCCGTACAGCGGCCCGCCTTCCCCAACAGCAGGGCAAGCTCCTGGGGAGCTCCCTGGAGGAGCCCAAAGCGTGTTGGGCTGCGGCAGGACAGCGGGGGCCAGGACCGCGGAGGTCCAGGGGGGGCCATGGCAGGTTGTGGGATCAATCAAGAGAGAGCCACAGCACGCTGTTCCAGGACTGGGGAGCTGCAAGAGGGAGCCGTGGCGTGTTCTAGGGAAGGGAAGTCGCCCAAGAGAGGCAGTGTATCCCGGGCCCTGGCCGGCATCCTGGGGGAGTTGCCAGAGCGTAGGGCCCGGCTTCAGCTCGGTGCAGGGGATCTGCGGGGCTCCCAGGGCCCCAGGCAACCAGTCCAGCATCCACACCGCTGCCCGCAACCGCCGGCACCGCTCCCAAGTCCTTCCCGGGTAGCCCCGCGCACCTCACTGCGCAGGCGCGCGGAAACCTCTCCAGGCCCGAGTGCGCAGCCGCACTTGGCCCGGAGGGCCCTCCAGCCCCGCCCCCTCTGCGCGCTTGGGGGCGGGGCTGGCGGGGGCGGGGCATGCGTGTCGGGAGGGGCGAAGCCTGGCCTATAAAGGCGGCGGCGGGGCGGCGCTCCCGGCTCCTCTCGGCGGCGGCGGCGGCCCAGGCAGAGGAGTCCGCGGTGGTGGCGGCGGCGGCGGCGCTGTTCCCCGCGCGGTCCGCGCAGTGGGGTCCGGGCTGCGTGTCTCGGGCGGCGGCGGCACTGCGGCCCCGGCCCGAGCCCGACCCCGGTGAGTGCGGCCCGGCGACGCTGGCCGGTCCCCGACCCGGTCGCGGGGATCGGGCCCCGCGGAGCCTCGGCGTCCCGGGCTCACGGCGCGCTGGCCGCAGCCACTCACGTTCTCCTTTGTCTGCTCCCGCCTGCAGGGTCCCCTACCCGGCCGCCCCCCGCCCACGGGCCGCTCCCCCGGGCCCGCCGTCCCCTCCCCCGCTGGCGGGGCCCGGACAGAAGATGGTGCAGAAGAAAACAGCCGAACTTCAGGGCTTCCACCGTTCGTTCAAGGTGAGGGCCGGGTGGCTTTGGGGTCGCCTGGGGCAGGACCACTCGAGTGGCCGGTGGGGGGCGCGTAGCCCACCCCTGGGATCCCCCCGGGCTGGTGCCCGCCCCCCCCCCCCCCCGTGTCTGGGGCTGCCCCAGCCGGGTGTGGGCTGGTGGGGCGGTCAGCGGGCCACAGCCCAGTCCCTAGCGCCCTGGGGACTGTGGGGTCTTTCCTCTGGGAACCCAAACCGTGGCCAAAGCTCCCAGGCCCCTGGGGACACTTGGTTGTGTGTCCCCTGCAAACCCCAGCCGGGTGTGCACTGCTACGGAGCTGAGCAGGCCACAGGCCAGTCCTCAGCGCCCTGGCCTGGGGGGTCTGTGAGGTCTTTCCTCTGGGAATCCGAGGTGGGGTTTCAGGTCCCTGAAAGCCCTCCCAGGTGGTCCTTGGAATAGGGGAGTGGATTGGAGGCCCCCCAGCCCTGCGCCTCCCAAGCAGTCCAGGCCCAAGTGCTATTTCCTGTGGGAGCAGGAAGTTTCTGCGGGGGCCTCACGGCTGCAGTCTTGGTCTCAGATGAGCGAGTCTGGGGGGGGCGGGCAGGTGCTGGGGGGGCCCCACAGGGCTGGCTCAGGGGGCGCAGTGATGTCAGCGGCCACCCCACCCCACCAGCTGCGATATGTAATGGTTTCTCTGGGCCTTCTTGGGCAGGGACCTGTTGCCCCGTACAGAAGGCAGGACCTGGGTGGGGGGGGGGGGCACTTGCACGCGCGCGAGTGCACTCGGTTGGCCGTGTGTGTACACAGGCACTCCCAGAACGGGGGTGGGAGGAGCAAGCTGAGACTGTTTGGGTTAGAATTCCCAGGCCCGTCCAGCCACATCTCGGGCCAGCGTGCCCCACCCCTGCCCACACGCCTGTCATCCTCGCTTTCCCCTCGCCAGGACAGGGACAGCCTTGGCACCTCCAAGTGTCCAGGGTGGGCCAAAGGGGAGATAGACCCAAGGCGTCATCGGCAGTGGTCTGTCCCCTCCTGGAGCTGGGCAGGAGCTAGGACAGGGTCAATGTGAGGGGCCACACAAGGCAGCCAAAGCAAACTCGAACTTTCTGGATGATTCCAGCTGCCTTCTGCCAAGGCCTGCTGACTGGAGGCCTGAGGCCAGCCCCAGCCCCAGCCCGCCCACAGTGCTTGGGACTGGAGGCTGCTCCCAGGTGGGACCGTGGGAGTCCTGAGAAGCGGGAAGGACGCTGGACAGGGGCCCTCAGCGCTGGGAAGGCCCTCGCAGCCACTCCGGGACGCCCCTCCCACCACGCTGAGGTTGCTTCCTTGGGCGGGGGCCGCTCCCTCCCCCCAGTCCAGCAGCAGCATCCCGGGACCCCTTCCGCTGGCATCCCCAACATACCTCCCCGTGTTCAGTTGGGGAACCAGAGGCTTGGACAGAGACGTTTGCCCCGAGTCTGTCCTGCACGTGGAGACGTCAGGGAGCTGCTTTACCGGGGGGGGGGGGGGGGACGGGGGGGACTTGGGCACCCGTCCTGTCTCCAGGGTGGGGGTGGGACAGGTACGCGGAGGTGGTGAGGGGATCCGCGGGCCCTCTCGGGTCCCTGCGCCCTTCCTCAGTCCGATGGGCACAGCCCGCTGCCTTCCATCTCTCACCCACAGATGTGGGTCAGGCCTGGGGCTGAGGTCGCTAGACCGAGGTGACGCTGCCGGCCCTGAGCCCCTCAGCCACCCACTTGTGTGGTTACCCTGGGGCCCCAGGCGGAAGTAGTGATCTGACCCCTCTCGAGGCCCCTGGAGGAGCCCCTGAGGAGCCCGGGCAGGGTGCTGGTTCTGGCATTGGTGACTGTGTGCCTGACTCCCCAGGAGGCCAGACCCCTCATCGGGCAGGGCCAGCGGCCAGAGCACCCCCCTCTCCCCACGGCCTGGCCCAGCCGGGCCTCCCCGCAGCCCTGCGCAGGGGGTTAGGGAGGCTGGGAGGCCCGCGCCTGTGTTTTTCAGCCGCTCCCTCTGACCTCCGGCTGCCCCCTCTGCTGCCGGCCTGGCTTCCGGGCCTCCTGTCTGTAGGAATCCGGCTCAGCTCCTTCTGCCCTGGGCCCCTCAGGGTCTCTCTGGGGCTTTCCAGGAGCTCCTACTCCGGATGACCCTTCTGCTGGAGCCCTGGCCCCGGTTGTGCTGAGGCCCCGGGGAGGGGCAGTGGCCTGGCCTGGGGCACCAGCATCAGCGGCACTGAGGCCCCCACACCCACCGGAGGCCCTGGCCACCCAGTCGGCCAGGCCACGGGAGCTAAATCAGAGCCAACTCCTGAAGGCCTCTGGCTGGGCCTCCGGGCCCCAGCCTCAAAGGCCTCACTCCTCACACCAGGGGCCATCGTTCCTCACGTGGCCCATCTGGTCCGTGGCAGGTCACTGCAGCAGCCCCCTGGGGGGTGAGACCAGGTTTCTCCAAGCCCCAGCCGCCTTCCTTCCCTGCTCAGGGTCTAGCACCCTTCCCCCAGTCCTGGGGACGCGCGGGTGACCTCCAGCGGCCCCCTCCCTGCCCGGGCTGGTTGCTTCGCTGGGCCCGGGGGCCTATGAGGGGCTGTGGCCTGGGCAGGGCCAGGCAGTGGCCGATCCGGTGCCTGCGCTGTTGCGGCCGGAGCCCTTGGAGGCCCATCCTGTGAACCACGGTCGGGCAACAACGGGCCGTCAGCGGGAGCAGCGCATGGCCGGGAGGGCAGTGGCCCCCCATTTCATGGAGGGGAAACTGAGGCCAGAAATTCGGGGCCTTGCGCTGGCGGCCGTGGGAAAGCAGGCAGGGCCGTCCCTGCTGGGAACCCCGCCTGGAAGCCAGCCGCCGGTGACTCACCCCCTCCCACTGTCCGCCCTGCTGCCTTTGATCCCGGCAGCCCAGGGGGCCAGTCAGGCTGTGCAGCAAGGCGGTTGTCCCCGGCTGAGCAGCAAGGCCCGGCCTGGGCACCGTGGTGACTCACACCAGGCCCTCTGCCTGCTCAGGGTCCCTCCTCACACCGCATCCCCTTCCTGGATGCCCGAGGGCCCTGGCCTGGCAGGGAGATGGTCCATTTCCCTACAGTCAAGCAAGGGCAGGCTTTGGTCCCCCTGGGCTTGTGGACGCGGACAGGGGGGCTGGGTCATTCTCTGGGCGGGCCCTGAGAGCTCCCCTTTCCCCTCCCCTGCAGGGGCAGAATCCTTTCGAGCTGGCCTTCTCCCTAGACCAGACCCACCTCGGGGAGACCGACTTCAGCCTGGAGTGTCCGGCCCGCCCTGGTGAGGGCCGGAGAGGAAGGTGGCGGTGCGGGAGGGCCGGGCGCGCCTTTGAGCCGCAGGGGCCCCCTGCTGAGCAGGCCGGGCCTCACCTCGGGGTCTCCTAGTGCAGATATGCCCGCCAGCCAGCCCATTGACATCCCGGACGCCAAGAAGAGGAGCAAGAAGAAGAAGCGGTGCCGCGCCACTGACAGCTTCTCAGGCCGGTTCGAAGGCGAGTGGGGGCTCCGGGCGGGGGCGTAGGGAGACGGGGCTGGCCTGGGGCGCCGCTCACTGGCCCCCCCGCGCCCCTGGCCCCCAGATGTCTACCAGCTGCAAGAGGACGTGCTCGGGGAGGGCGCCCACGCCCGCGTGCAGACCTGCGTCAACCTCATCACCAACCAGGAATATGCCGTCAAGGTGAGCGGCAGCGCGCGGCTGGCTCCCTGCACCTTTCCCTGCAGCGCCTGCGATCTGGCACTGGCCGCAGGCAGCGGGAGGAGGGAGCTGGCATTTGAGCCCCTGGACCAGCAGCTGGGGGAAACTGGTGTCTAAAAATGGCCCCAGGGCCCGTGACTCAGGCCACCCCTGGGAATCTAGGTCAGCCCGCTCTGAGCCCCCGAGTCTGGGCGGGAAGTGGCCACGAGGCACAGTTCCCCACACCGGTGGCTGCGGACCTGGTGCCAGGCGACAGCCTGGGGTTGTAACCAGCTGGTTACAGTGATTAAAAGGCAAGCTGTACTTGGGGCCCAGGGAGGCTTGGCATCTGGGGAGACCAGGGCAGGCCCGAAAGAGCCTCCTGAGTGTTTCCATGTGGCCCCTGGCCCAGGCGTGGCCTTGAAACCTCCAGGAACCCTTCCAGTCTTCCCTGGTGACCCTGCGTCTCGGTGCGGTGGGGTCACGGGAGCCCAGGGATGAGGACCAGGCGCTCCCTGCTAGCCAGAGCCCAAGGCCGAGGTAGAAGTCTGATGGTAAAAGTGGCCATCGCCCTGCCCCCCTCCGTGAGTTCCCAGGTCAGGCGGAGCGATGGTGCCAGAGAATCGGACGCTCAGCTTCCCGCGCTTTCCGTAGGACAGGTGTCGCACTGAGTGTCTGTCTCCTAGGGACTGCGTTGGGCAGCCTGGCTTCCTGTCCCTGTTTGGCAGTTCGGACCAAGGCTCAGGAGGGTTAGGGAGCCTGAGTCAGACCTCCTATAAGGTCACATCTCCCCCTGCCGAGGGACCGCAGTTTCCTCTGTGAAGTGGGGATCCTAGCGAGATTCCCGAGGGATAGGACGAGGTTCTCTGGAAGGGTGTGGTCACTGGCCTGTGTCACGAGGCCCTGAGATCTGCCTGGTCTGCCTCTCCAAGGCACAGGTGTGTCTCACCGGACAGGTAGGACCGTGCCGAGGCTGGGCCCCGGCAGCAGATGGACACCAGGCCTGGCTGGTGCAGGAGCGAGCTGGTGGGACACCGCGTTCCCCTCCTGCAGGCCAGTGCGCCCGCAGGGAGTCCCGGTCCTGCCCCGCCTGCCCACTGGGGGGGGCCTAACATCTAACCTGGGAAGACGTTCCCAGCGGTTGCCTCGGGGCCGGAGTGGCCCCCAGAGAGCCAGCCTGCACCTTCTGCCCCTGCTTCTGTGAGCAAAGGTGGCTGGGGGTGAACCCGGGACGCGGGTGGGCCTGGAGCTCCCAGGTGCCATGGGATCAGGGGCAGAAGCTGGCTTCTGGAGGCTTTGCAGTCACGGGAGACTGTGCCTGCTGGTTGGCAGGGGGCCACTGTGGGCTGATGGGCCCGTGGCGGCTGCTCACACTCTCATGGAACCGGGGAGGTGGGACGTGGCGCCGAGGTGGCCGGGGACAGCTTGGCTGGCAGCCCAGTGCCCCAAGGCCCCTCTAGTCCCCTGGGTGGTGTGGGAGCCCGCACGGTGCCCACCAGTCTCCCAGGCAGGGAGGGGATGCAGATACCCTGAAGGGGCTTTTGCAGGAGTCTCAGGCCTCAGACATGCCCCCAAGGCCTGTGGGGTCAGACGCGGGAAAGACCCGCCTCCTCTTTCTGCCTTGCTTGTCTCTCTCTTGATGCCACTTGGGAAACATGTTGCAACCCCCCCCTCCCCGCCGTCCCACCCCCAGCTTGCGCTGACGCCATAGTTCTGACTTTGGCAAAGTCTGGGCCCCAGGAGGAGAGTTCTGCTTCTTAGAACTTAAGGGCCAAGCTCTGGTGGGGTTTCAGCCGTGGCACGTGGCAGGTCTCCAGGAGGACCCCCTTGGGCTTTGGGTGACCCAGCTGCTGTGTCCCCTGCCCCCCCTCCACCTTTTAGATCATCGAGAAGCAGCCGGGCCACATTCGGAGTAGGGTTTTCCGGGAGGTGGAGATGTTGTATCAGTGCCAGGGACACAGGTAACGTGACCCGCTCGCCACAGAACTGGGCCCAGAGCCATCTCTCCATGGAAAAATGGGCCCGAATGCCTCCTCACCCCCAGCAAGCATTTAGGGAACATCCAGTGTGTACCAGACTCTGCTCAGGGTGCGCTGGGGGACACCTGGTGTCAGGCAGGCAATCCAGAGAGTCCCAGCCTTCCCGTGCACAGGCGGAGATGGAAAGGGTGGACCCCTCCTGGGCTGGGCTGGGCTGTGGGTGCACAGGGGCCTTAGGAAGCCTCCTTCCTCTTCTGCCTCTCCAACCCCCCACACCCCAGGAATGTTCTAGAGCTGATAGAGTTCTTTGAGGAGGAGGATCGCTTCTACCTGGTGTTTGAGAAGATGAGGGGCGGTATGTGGGGCCTGGGGGGCATTTCCAGCTGTGTCCTAATGGGCTGTGGGCTCGGCCACCAGGGAGGACCTTTCAGATGTGCTCCTCCTGCACACCGGAGGGGGGCTTGTGGGGGTCTGAGCTTCCTGTCCATATGTTAGCTCAGGGTTGAAGACTTTGAGCCCAAGGAGGCCAGAGTGGGCACTTCCCTGTGGGGTGGAAGTGGGTACCAGGCACTGGGCAGTGGCCTGGGACACAGAGGTCACCCGTATGTGTTCTCCCTCCACCACGGCCTGGCCCCAGGCTCCATCTTGAGCCACATTCACAAGCGGCGGCACTTTAACGAGCTGGAGGCTAGCGTGGTCGTGCAGGACGTGGCCAGCGCCCTGGACTTCCTGCACAACAAAGGTGGGTGGTGGGGCTCCCTTGTTCCCTGGGATGTGCAGCCGCGTGCCCGGCCCGCCTGCCACAGACTCCTAGAAAATGCCTCCACTCCCTCCACTGAGCCCTGGTTCTCACCGCAGGCATCGCCCACAGGGACCTAAAGCCAGAAAACATCCTCTGCGAGCATCCCAACCAGGTGAGGGGCGCCGGGGAGCGGCCTTCCCTGCGCCGGGGCGGTGCGGGCTTGGCCGGGGCCCCCGCCGTACCGCCGTTTCCTGCTCCTCCTAGGTGTCCCCCGTGAAGATCTGTGACTTCGATCTGGGCAGCGGCATCAAACTCAACGGGGACTGCTCCCCGATCTCCACTCCAGAGCTGCTCACCCCGGTGAGACGCGCGGGCAGCGGGCACGCAGCGACCCGCTCGCCTCGCTCTGCTCCCGGGTTGGGGTTGGGCTGCCTGCCGTTGCGTAACTCGAGGTGCCGGCTGCGCGGCTGCCCAGCCCGTGGAACCGGGGCCTTCGCTTAGCAACAGCCTCCGATTGGCCCGTGGAAAGGGGCGGGCGGGGCCGCGGGAGGGAGGGGCGGGGCGGGCTCCAGGCACCTGCTGTTGATTGGGTGGCTGGGCGGGTGGGCACCTGTCACCTGTTGATTGGGTGGGGTGGGGGCGGGTCCTGTCCCGGGCTCCCCTCTGATTGGCCAGGCTGAGCATCGGGGCGCAGCCGTCTCAGGTGACCCTGTGTTGGGGCTTTCACGTGACACCGGAAAGTCCCGGCCTGCGGCAGTCCCCCCTCCCTCCCGGGCCCTGACGCCTGCTCCCTCCCGCAGTGCGGCTCGGCAGAGTACATGGCCCCCGAGGTGGTGGAGGCCTTCAGCGAGGAGGCCAGCATCTACGACAAGCGCTGCGACCTCTGGAGCCTGGGTGTCATCCTCTACATCCTGCTCAGCGGCTACCCGCCTTTCGTGGGCCACTGCGGCAGCGACTGCGGCTGGGACCGCGGCGAGGCCTGCCCGGCCTGCCAGGTGCGCGCGTGCGCCCGTGCCCGGTGCGCCAGAGCCTCAGCCGCGTGCACCATGCCGGCCCGGTCTGTGTGCGTGTGCGCCCGTGCCCGGTGCGCCAGAGCCTCAGCCCCGTGCACCATGCCGGCCCGGTCTGTGTGCGCGTGCGCCCGTGCCCGGTGCGCCAGAGCCTCAGCCCCGTGCACCATGCCGGCCCGGTCTGTGTGCGCGTGCGCCCGTGCCCGGTGCGCCAGAGCCTCAGCCCCGTGCACCATGCCGGCCCGGTCTGTGTGCGCGTGCGCCCGTGCCCGGTGCGCCAGAGCCTCAGCCCCGTGCACCATGCCGGCCCGGTCTGTGTGCGCGTGCGCCCGTGCCCGGTGCGCCAGAGCCTCAGCCCCGTGCACCATGCCGGCCCGGTCTGTGTGCGCGTGCGCCCGTGCCCGGTGCGCCAGAGCCTCAGCCCCGTGCACCATGCCGGCCCGGTCTGTGTGCGCGTGCGCCCGTGCCCGGTGCGCCAGAGCCTCAGCCCCGTGCACCATGCCGGCCCGGTCTGTGTGCGCGTGCGCCCGTGCCCGGTGCGCCAGAGCCTCAGCCCCGTGCACCATGCCGGCCCGGTCTGTGTGCGCGTGCGCCCGTGCCCGGTGCGCCAGAGCCTCAGCCCCGTGCACCATGCCGGCCCGGTCTGTGTGCGCGTGCGCCCGTGCCCGGTGCGCCAGAGCCTCAGCCCCGTGCACCATGCCGGCCCGGTCTGTGTGCGCGTGCGCCCGTGCCCGGTGCGCCAGAGCCTCAGCCCCGTGCACCATGCCGGCCCGGTCTGTGTGCGCGTGCGCCCGTGCCCGGTGCGCCAGAGCCTCAGCCCCGTGCACCATGCCGGCCCGGTCTGTGTGCGCGTGCGCCCGTGCCCGGTGCGCCAGAGCCTCAGCCCCGTGCACCATGCCGGCCCGGTCTGTGTGCGCGTGCGCCCGTGCCCGGTGCGCCAGAGCCTCAGCCCCGTGCACCATGCCGGCCCGGTCTGTGTGCGCGTGCGCCCGTGCCCGGTGCGCCAGAGCCTCAGCCCCGTGCACCATGCCGGCCCGGTCTGTGTGCGCGTGCGCCCGTGCCCGGTGCGCCAGAGCCTCAGCCCCGTGCACCATGCCGGCCCGGTCTGTGTGCGCGTGCGCCCGTGCCCGGTGCGCCAGAGCCTCAGCCCCGTGCACCATGCCGGCCCGGTCTGTGTGCGCGTGCGCCCGTGCCCGGTGCGCCAGAGCCTCAGCCCCGTGCACCATGCCGGCCCGGTCTGTGTGCGCGTGCGCCCGTGCCCGGTGCGCCAGAGCCTCAGCCCGGTGCACCATGCCGGCCCGGTCTGTGTGCGCGTGCGCCCGTGCCCGGTGCTTCAGAGCCTCAGCCCGGTGCACCATGCCGGCCCGGTCTGTGTGCGTGTGCGCCCGTGCCCGGTGCTTCAGAGCCTCAGCCCGGTGCACCATGCCGGCCCGGTCTATGTGCGCGTGCGCCCCCTCCCCCGTGTGCCAGGTCTGTGAGCCGGTGTGTCGCTCACCCCCAGCACCCCTCTGTGCCCTCCCTGGGGGCCTGCTTGCTGCGAGATCCTGGCCTGTGATACCTGATCTATCCCCAGGGCAGTGCTGGCCTGGTCCACCCGGGGTTACACAGACTCCTTGGTTTTATGGTCCACAAGAGGAAGCATTTGGGGATCAGGGATCTGTCATCCGGCAAGACTTAGGGTCTGGGATGACCAGGTTCCAGCCTTGTGGCCTTCTGTCCCCTGGAGTTTGGCTGCCAAGAGCTGCCTTTTTGCTATCAGCTTCTGCTGGGCAGAGTTCACTGAGACTTGCCCGAGGCCAGCTCTCCAGTCCACTTGCATTCCTCTCAGGCCTTTGGCCCCTTGAGCCCCCGGTCCCGCCAGCGGATCTCAGACCCCCTCCCCCCGCCCCCCATTGCCTGGGGACCAGTCTGTCCAGGTCCCGGGTCAGGCTGCATGGCTGAATCTGGGGCCCACGGCAGCCCGGTACAGAGCAGTGTCACGGTGTCCCCTGCTGTGTCGGGCCGGTGTGGGTGTTGGGCTAAGTTACTCTGCAGCCGATCTTTCACCTCTGTGCCCCTCCCCCACAGAATATGCTGTTTGAGAGCATCCAGGAGGGCAAGTACGAGTTTCCGGAGAAGGACTGGGCCCACATCTCCTTCGCTGCCAAAGACCTCATCTCAAAGCTTCTCGTCCGCGACGCCAAGCAGAGGCTGAGCGCCGCCCAAGTCCTGCAGCACCCCTGGGTGCAGGGGGTGAGTGAGCCTTGCTGGGGACCTCCTGCCTCCGGCCCACCTCCCATGGGGAAGGAAGGGACTTTCAGCAGGAGCGGGAGCACCCCTGTGCAAGCCAGCATCAACACCCCCGGCTGCAGTGTGGGCCTGGGGCCCGGCCTGGGGGCGCCCGCGGGAGCTGGGGCGCCGTGGTCAGACCCACCACCTGCTTCCGGCTGGGGCCCCGGCTGCAGAAATCGCTTGAGCCCGTGCTTGGAGGCACCAGGCGTCTTCCTGCCCGGCACGGGGAGCAGGCTGAGGTCATCCAGCTTTGGGGCAGGTGGCAGACCTGCTCCCTGTCCCCACGGGGCTGGGAAGCGCCAGGCTGCCAGCCCAGGGCAGGGAGGGCACACGGGCAAGGGTCTTGAACGTAGAAGCTGGCACTGGGGGTCCATAGGCAGCCCTGGTCGCAAGGCGAGCTGCTGGAGGGGCTTCCGTCCCCTTCTGGAGCAGCGGGAGGCCCTGGGGGGCGAGAGAGGGGCAGGGCGGGGTCTAGAGAGCCGCTCTGGGCTTCTGCTCCCCCTTCCCTTCCCCCGGCCTGGCTGGGCTCCAGCAGACACACCCCCTTCACCTCGGTCGCTGCCAGTGGGGCCCCCGGGAGGCAGCTGGGCTCTGCTCTTCAGCTTCTCCTCTCCCCTGTCCGTACAGTGTGCTCCAGAGAACACCCTGCCCACTCCCATGGTCCTGCAGAGGTGAGGCCCGCGGGGGGTCTTGGGCCCTGGAGTCGGGGGGACCCCAAGTCGGGAGCGGTTAATGTTAAGATGTTTAAAACTACAAGCCGTCTTTAAATTGGGGGGCGCTGGGGAAGCCATCTAAGCGCTTGGGCGTCCTTGTACTAGCGGTGGTGCTCGCAGGGGTCCTGGTGCCCAGGGAGGCTCAGCGCGCCTGGGACCTGCGGCCCCCTCCCCCCGAGGTATTGCACAGGCTCCAGGGATCCCAGGGGGTCCCCGCAGCCACCCTCACCTCCTTGGTAACCGCCCCGTCCCCAGGAACAGCTGTGCCAAAGAGCTCACGTCGTTTGCGGCCGAGGCCATCGCCATGAACCGGCAGCTGGCGCAGCGGGAGGAGGACGCGGCCGAGGAGGCGGAGCAGGGCCAGCCCGTGGTCGTCCGCGCCGCTCGCTGTCTGCGGCTGTCCCCACCCTCCCAGAGCAGGCTGGCCCAGCGGCGACAGCGAGCCAGCCTGTCCTCGGCCCCCGTGGTCCTGGTGGGAGACCACGCGTGACCCTCCCCTTCCTCTGTACATAGGTCTCCCCCCCCCCCCATCAAATCTAAAGAGTTTTTTAAGCTATTGCCAGCCGGTGACCAGAGGCCACCCTGCCCTGGCTGGTCCCCAAGGCGCTAAGCTCAGTTGGGGGGACCCTTTTTATATGAGGTTTTTGCTGTTGGGTTTTTTTCTTTTTTCTGTCTCACCCTCATTTTTTTTCCCTTTAAAGGTGTTAAAAGCAAAGCAGGCGCCTGGGGGGAGGATGGAGGCTTTGTCGCTGGGCTTGTCCCGTCCCTGCCCCCAGTCTCAGATGCTCACCTGTACTGTGAAGGGCCCCCACGCCCGCCCCGCCCAGATGTGACTCAGGAGAGGAGGGCGCGAGCGCCTTCCAGAGCTGGGGGCACAGAAGCGCACCCCTCCCCCAGCCCTCACAGTGTTTTCAGGGACGGGCCACCCCCACGTCTCCCCGGGGTGACACGGCACCTCTTCCATCCCTCACCCGGAAGCAGCCTGGTCGCTTGGAGGGCATGGGCTCCTCAGGTCTCCCTTGTGTCTAGAGGGGGTCTGGGTGCAGGCAGGTGGGATACACGGCCGCCCGCCGGACCCCCTGTCTGACTGACAATCGGGGCTCCCTCGGACCTTGACCTTAAGCTGCAGCTCTCCCTGCGCCCTCCCCTGCCCTCTCCACGGGGACCCCACCCACGCAGGAGGGCAGTGCCAGAGGAAGTGGGAGGGGTTGGACAGGCGCCCGTCAGCCAACGTGGGGGTCCCTTGGACCCCCACCCCGGGCACCAGAGTGCCCCTTCTCAGGGCTCAGTCTGACCATGGCCACGTCCTGCCCCTCGCCGTCGCCGCTGGGTCTGGTGAGGAAGCTCCGTGAGCGCCCCCTGCCGCCGCCTCAGAGCCAGGGCCCAGCCAGGGGTCCTGCTGAACCCCCCGCCCCCCAGGGCCACGCGGCCCACCTTCAGGAACACGGCTACAGCTCCCCCCGGGCACCCAGGAACCGCCGCGCCCGCCTCCACCCACCTCAGCGCCAGGGTCAGACGAGTGACCCCCTTCTTCCCTCGGGTGGGAAACACTATGCAATACAGGCTCCCCTTTTCGCCGTGTCCCGAGCTTCGGCCGGGGGGTGGGGGGCCCGCAGCGCCCCGCCAGGGCAGCCTGGCCCCGGGGTCTGGTCGGGACTCCGCAGCGGGCCGGGCCCTTGGCTTCTAGTTGTTCGTCCTGTTCTGTTCGTTTTTTAAAGACATTGGTTGACTTCCCTTCCCTGTTCTTGAATACTTGAATGTTGGGGGGCCTTGTGGGTCGGGGGGCTCACATGCCGTTTCTGTGGCAGTCTCTGGTGGCTGGTGGGGACTGGCTGCCCCTCCCGGCCCCGCCCACCTGGATCTGTGGACCGGCCTTTCCAAAGACCCCCCTGGGGAGGGGGGAGGGGTGGGGGGAGGAGGCCGCCCCCACCCCTGCCTCTTGCCCTTCAGTGGTTCCACGTTCTGAGCTGGGGATTCTGCCTTTTTGTAAAAAAGAAACAAATGGACCCCCGCCTGCCGCAGGCGCCTTGGCCGTTTTAACTCTGGAAAGCTGAGCTGTGAGGAGCTTTTTTTTTTTCCAAAGGTGGGACAGCCACTTCCTCCCCGTCACACACGTCACACGGACGGACACTGTGGCCGGAGGACTGTCAGAACCGCTACTGTGAAAGCGCCCGGCCCCCGGCCGCTCCGGCCCTGGGGGAGGGGAACGGCAACGTTTCAACGTTCAGATGTATAAAAAAGACAAAAAAAAAAAAAAAAAAACCTCAAGTTTTTTAGAAGTGGGGGGAAACATCAAGCACTTTAACTCCACCGCACCAGGTGAGCCGATACAGCTCATTTCCTTACACCAACTGTCGATGCCGGACTTTTGTATTGTTTTGTAAGGATTTAATAAAAGTCATAAAAACTTGTCGTCTGTGTCCTGGTTTTCTGTTGCATAACAAGCAGCCCCAAACCACTTCTCCCTCCGAGCGATGCCCCTGAGTCCGGAGCCTGGGAGGGCGCCGAGGGGGGTGGCCCGCTGCTGGGGGGACCTGGGCCCTCGTCCGTCCCCTACGGCTGCAGGCCCAGCCGGTGGCCCTGGGCTCCCCCCCCCCCCCCCGACCCCAGACGGCCAGAGTCGCACGAACCCAAGCGGGAGTGGCAGGGCTGTCTGGCCTCGGAAGCCGTCACGGGCCCACATCCGAGGCTGGGCTCCCCGGCCCCAGGCCCCAGGGGGTGCGGAGGGGGGCAGCTTTGGCTGGTGCGGCTGCTGCTGACTTTGGACAATGCAACCCAGCGGAACCTGGGAATCCCAGCCCCTCCCGTGTGGCTGGCCCTCGGCCATCATTGAGTTCTTGCTGCATGCGGGCCTCTGTGCTGGATGGTCCAGGGCTGACCAGACCCCGGCAGGGAGGGAGTGGGCCAGGGAGGGCTTCCTGGAGGCGGGAGCCGGTGGGCCGTTAGCCCGGGCTGCGTGTGCCCCAGCTCTTCTGAGAAGCCAGGTGAGGCGCTGAGCAGGCGGCACGGCGCCCGAGCTGCCCAGGAGAGCCGTGGGTGAGCGGGCCCTGCGGGGTGGGCGCCCGTGTCCGAGTGCACCGGGCCGGCTCGGTCCCCGGAGCTCGCGTGTCTGGGTCCCGCCCCGGCGTCACGTGCTCAGGACGGAGCCGGCGGGCAGCGTGTGCCGGCGCCTGTGACGCTGCCGCGCGTGGTGGACACGTGGGCACCGCCCCTCCGGCCGCGGACACCTGTGGACACCGGTGTGTGAGCATCGTTCTGAGCGGACACCCACAGAAGGGGCGTGAGCGGGGCACACACCCGCTTGGATGTCAACCTCGGAAGGGCCGTCCTGTCACCTTGTGGAGTGTAAGGACTCCCCTTGCAGACGGCCCAGTGAGGGGTGACGAGCCTGGCGAGGGTGGTGGCCAGGAGGCCACAGAGCCAATCCTGGCTGGGTCAGGTGACCCCGGAGCACCTGGAGTCAGCCTGGGCCAGCAGGGGACGGCGGGTCACCCCTCTCCTGCCCAGGACCCCCGGCTCAGCGGGTAGCACACCCTCCCCCGACCTGGCATCCTCCAGCCTGGGCCTCACCCCTGCTTTGGTCCAGCCACCTCCTAACCCTCCTCTGAGGTCCCACGGCTCCCTGCCCCGGGCCGGGCTCCTGCCTCCAGGACCACTGGCCCTCCAAGCCCCTCTCTCAGTGCCTCTGGGTGCCCCCGCCCCCCCCCGCTCCCCCTGCCCCCCGTCCCCTCCCCCCTCCCCCCCCCCCGCCCCCCCCCGCTCCCCCCGCCCCCTCCCGCCTGCCAGGGCATAGGTACAGCCTGTTCTCCCAACTGCGTTGCGGTTTCTTCTGGCCAGCCGATCCCGCCCCTTCCACGTCTCTCTCTCTCTCTCTCTCTCTCTCTCTCTCTTTCTCGGAGCAGCAGGAAAATCCTGGAGCTGGAGGACCTGGGAGCCAGGCTGGTGACTATGGTGCCCTGCCCGCCTCTACCTGTGAAGGAGGAGGTGCCGGCCTGTCACCCGAGCGTCCCCGAGGCGCCCTGGAGGTGCCATATGTGACGAAGGTCTCCGCTGCACGCAAGGAGCTCTGTGCGCGCAATGGGGGCTGGGCAGGCGCCTGGACACTCTCCTCTTCAGGTTTTCTGTAAAGCTAAAGCTTTTTTAAAAAATAAATTTTACTTAAAAAAATAAAGTAGTGGGGCACCTGGGGGCTCGGTCTGTGGAGCGTCCGACTTCGGCTCAGGTCATGATCTCAGAGTTCATGGATTCGAGCCCCGCGTCGGGCTCTGTGCTGCCAGCTCAGAGCCTGGAGCTGCTTCAGATTCTGTGTCTCCCTCTCTCTCTGCCCCTCCCCTGCTCACGCTCTGTCTCTAAATAAATAAATAAACATTAAAAAAAAAAAGATGGGCGGTGCCCGTCTGTGTAGGGTGGGGCACAATAAATGCATCGGGGAGTAATTTAGCACCAAGGGGTGGGGGCAGCAGCACGGTGCCCCCCCCAACACTGCTGCAGGGTTCAGCTGTCGTCACCAGTCCCCTCACCGAGCCCTCCCTGTGGCCCCCCAGCTCGCTGGTCCCGCTGCGGACGAGGCCGGAAGGGAAGCGTGATGGGGTCGAGCCAGCGTGAGAGAGCAGAGGACGCTGCTCCCGGGGCCGGGACAGCCTGGAGGTGCCCGTCCACCTTCCACTGTCCAGTGTGGGGCCGCCTGCATACACACCCCCGTCACCCAGCTGCTTCACTCCTCCCCACACCGCGCTCCAGGTTCATGGTCACCTTGGAAAGACACGGTAAGGGTGCTGTCGCATTTGTCATTTCCCCCGTGGAGACTCAGTTTCCCCAAGTGGAACGTGACGGTGATGGCTCCAGCTCTCCCCTGACTCAGTTTCCCTTTTGTGCCCACCTGTGAAGCAGCAGCAGAAGGCTGGGAGGGGATGGGGTTCTTGTCCAGCGTGGCAGCCTTGGCTGGGGGCTCATGACGTCCATGCCCAAGCCCCTCAGGGAGTCCCCAGAACAGTGTCACAGACAGGCGGAGCACGGTGCTGCCGGCGTGTCTCGGCGCGTTCAAGGCTGCACCTGAAGGTTGTGGGTCCAAGGCCGGGTCACCCCTCACCCAAGGTCATCAGCTCAGTGACTCAACCCTGCAAGTAGGAGCCAGGACCACGGACAGGTGAGCCGGAGCCTCTCCAGGATACAAAAGCTAAGGGGCTCCAAACATGGGGTCCCCAGGAGACTATTTTGTGCTGGAATCCTCGCAGGGACGATTGTAGATTCAAGGGGCACCCACTTTCCCCCAGTGGTAACATTTTGCAAAACTGCGTTACAAGGTTACAAGCAGACACGACTTTGCTACAAAGCAGCTGCTGGAAGCGCCGATTTCCAGTTGGCCCCTGGGTCCGCGCCCCCCCCCCCCCCCCCCCCCCCCCCCCGGCTTCCAGCCNGAGTGATTTACAATCTTGGCAAGTTTGAGAAGCCTGATTGCAGCCTTCTTTGCCTTGTTTGTTTTGTATATATCATCCCTACTGTTCTCCCCTACACCGCACCCCCCCCCCCCCCCCCCGCTCCAGGTCTAAGGCCAGAGCAGGAAACTCCCTCCCCTTTCCCTCTCTTCTCCTTTGGAAACAGAAATGCATCAGCCTGGACCTCTGAGCTGGGTGCCTTCTGACAGAACTTTCTGGAATGACAGACATGTTCTCCCTCTGAGCTGTGGAAGACAGCAGCCACCAGACACGTGTGGCTACTGAGTGAAATGTGGCCAATGCAAATGAGGAACCAAATGCTTCATGTGTTTCTTTTTAGTTGATTTAAATTTGTGGAGCGCAGCAGGGCTGGTCCCCCTCTGGCTGCCCGATACTCAATCTACAAACGTGTCGTCCATTTCCCTCCGAGCCCTTCTGTGCGGACCTGCTCATCCGAGACGCGGCGGCAGACAGACCGCCGAGGCCAACATCGTCCCACCTCTGGCCGCCGCGGCGAAGGCCTGCAGAGCGCGGACTTGACCTCTGCTCACTCCTGCAGCCCGTCCCGCGTGTGACCCTCCCCAATGCTGCCCTGGGAAGAGAGACCTTACAACTGTCAGAGCTTTGGTGCCCCGTCTGTTAATTGGGGGAAGGACACAGGCCTCAGTGCCAGGTGCCACCAATAAAGAATCTCGTGACTCAGAGGACTTTGGCTTTGCCAGGTCCTGGGAGGATCAGTCAAGGAGGGTGGAAGGAAAGAGGAGTAGGATCCCAGGCACTGTGGTTCCTGAGTGGCACGCTCCTGCCTGAGAAGGGCGGCGTGCTTCCAGAACATTCCAGAATATTCCCCGCTTGTTGTATCCTCATCCCTGGGCAACATTCCTGGAGTGCAAGAGTCAGCCTGGAAGCTTGTAAAACACGAGGTGGGCCAGTGTCGAACGGTGTGGGTGTGGTGCAGGGAGCGAGTCTGCACTGCAGGGGTGTAAACAGATCAGTGCGTTGATCGGGCCCGTGCCCCGGAATCCCAGACACCCTTCTGCTCATTTGGAAAACCGCAGGCCCCAAACCTGCTGTTGCCCCTGCTGCCTCCCCTGGGCCGGGCTTCCCCGACGCACACAGGACACGGGCCTGGGGGGTGAGGGGGCTTCGTTAGTGCTCCCTGGGAAGATCCAGTGGGGTGACGATTTCCGACGGGGCCAGCCGCCCCCGGGGACCCTGGGCCGCGTCTGGGGGCGTCTGTGGCCATCACACAGGGGTGCCGCTGGCATGGAGCATGTGTTTAGCCCCCTCCCGTCCCCACTTCCTGCAGAGAGGAAGCCCCTTGTCCTGCAAACACCGCCTCCTGGAAGGTCCCCTGGCTTCCACGGGAGTTCACTCAGCTTGTTTCCTGAGCCGCTGAACTTCCCGTAGGTGGGAGGTTAGACTCGAAGCCAAGAGGGGGTCCGGTTTGCACTTTGGGCTTGAAAGCTTCGTCCGTAGGTGGTGCCGGGTACTTCATCCGGCAGCCCCTTGGCGAGATCCGGTGGCTCCCTGCGCTCAGACCCTCCCTGGACCGGGGCGCTGGGGCCCCCTTGGGCATGACCGGCCGCTGCCGTTGGAGGTGAGGCCCCCCCCCGCACATACAACACGCCGCCCCCCTTCCTATGGCGCGCCTCTGAGCTCCGCAGCGCTGACCACCACTGCTAGAATCAAGATTTCTTTATTTTTATTTATTTTTTTACAAATAGTTTATTGTCAAGTTGGTTTCCATATAACACCCAGAGCTCATCCCCACAAGTGCCCTCCCCCATGCCCATCCCCCCCCTTCCCCTCACCCCCATCAGCCCTCAGTTTGTTCTCAGCATTCAAGAGTCTCTCATGGAGTCCCTCCCTCTCCCCTGGAATCAAGATTTCTTAACAAGCTGCTCGTCTCGGTCCAAGGTGTCTCCTTCCTGTCCCCAAACCCAGCCGCATACTTGGTTCATGACCCAGGGAA